GAATGAAATGCATCACTATGTGCAAACTGCAGTCCATGTTATACTGGCACTTAGGTCTGAAATCAACTCCATCTTTAGACATAGTTTTGAAAATGGCACAGATTCTAACTTTTGAATTGTTTAAGAAATGCCTGCCCCTAATTGGAAAGTTAGCTGATTGTGCCATTTATTATTTTCTTTTCATGCACTGGTTGGATGGTTTCTTAAAGGTGCACACAGTTCATGCACAGTTTATTTTCCCAGACCAGTTGTCGCTATGTGTTTTAAAACATCTTCTACATCTCTTTCTGTATGCTTTTCCCTTTCTTCTTTCATAAAGATGACAATACAATAGGACAAAGAACTAATTATGGTATGGTTGCAGGTAAGACCAGAACAAGCAAAACTTCAGTTAAGAATGAACTAACACATGAAAAACCTCAGCAAAGCCTTGCCCAGTTCATCTATAGCAAAAATATGCTACCTGTAGCCACAGGGCTGAAGGCAAACACAAGCAGCAAAAACAACCCACACAGGATGATAAAAGATGGCATGTGCTGTGGTGGATGCTTTGCAGGCACATATGACATGAAACATTCTTAGAAACCACACAGCATCCAAGAATGCTGGGTGCCCCAAGGAAACAGCAGGCTGTCAAAAGAGAAACAAGAAGAGAGACATAAAGAAGTAAAAGAAGGGAGTTAAACAAGACCAGACTGCCATTGAGAAAGTAACCATCCAGGACTTCCCGCCCCCCACAGTGGGTAAGCACTTATTTTAATTGCTGAGACGTAAAAGAGCAGCAAACTGCCTGCAATAATATTTCAATTTAAAAAAAAAAAAAAAATCAGAGGAATGCAGAACTTTGGGGAAATAGTTACAAAGAAAGCAATTCACATCTCAGAATATACTGCCAACCCGATCAGGAGGAACCCTTTCAGTTAGAAAATTTCTCACTTGAAGCCCACATGTTTGATGTCAACAGTTACAGTTCTTCACTTGAAATGTCAAGACAGAGGAAAAAGCTGCAGATAAAGTGTTTGCAGAACACTGACTTTAACATCAGCATCAACACTGGCGTTAGCTACGTAGAACTAGCGTGCCATTCCCACAACAGTGCTGGCCCCAACACGCCCTTCCCGTCACAGGTCTGAGTCTGTGGAGGAAGGGGGAGGATTCAGATTGCCAGTCATGTCTAGCCTCTCTCAGAAGCTTATGCATGAAACAGTTGCATACAAAAGAGACCTGGGAAAAACCTCCCACCAAGCTGCCACATTTGCCTCTGGTTATGAACAACTGTTTTTAAAAAAACATTTTCAGGCATGCTGCTTGATTGCCCTCTGGTGGACAAAAATAGAAGACATTTCTAATTGCTTGGTAAACATTTTGGGCATTTATACATGTACCTTTGTCTGCTCCGACACACTGAAAATCCAACACGTCACAGCAGACTCAATTAATCCAGTCCGCAGAGCACATGAGCAGACGTGCCTGGCACTGCATAGCATGCATTTGTATAAATGGTGAGATGTGCATCAGCATGCAGAAAATGGCGATGACGCGCTTTTGAACTAAAACACCTTTGATGCGTTCTAGTTCAAGTGTGCCGCCACCATTTTCTCAGCACTGATGCACATTTCACCATTTATACAAAGCATGCACCAGAGCACATGCATATCTACAAATGTCCTTTGTAACTAGCCCCTTCCCAAATGCATCTGACAAGATAATGGGGGAAAAAAGAATCAATAAAAATGTATTAAGAACAAACAATAACTGGGTAACCACAATCTAACCATACAGAAAGGGATTCCTAGATGAGGAAAAGCCCTAAACTTAATCAAAGCTGTGTTACCTGTCAGCTCTGTGGTTTTGGGGAACCCTGCCATAGTACGCAGGCTGTCTGACTCACAAGGGACTCAACCCCTCGCCTGAACAAAAACTGCTTAGAGGAAAGACTTACAAAAGACAATGAAGATGCAGTGGGAACACCTGGGAATCTCAACTGGTTCAAGCTTTGCTGAGTGGTGAGATCCCAACTCTTTCTCTCTCTCTCTCTCTCTGACTCCAGGAACCTGACATTTGCTTTCTTACTCCAGGCACAGCTTTCTAAACCGGACTTTTGCTGATCAAACTTGTGCTAGACTTCCCCAAATACCTAACTGAAACTATGTAATATTCTAGCTGTTTTATTTGTCTCTCTTGTATGGCTGTTACTATTGGTATCATCATAAGTTCATATACCTGGTAATAAATGAGTTTTATGGTCAAGCTAGTTGCTATGCTCGCTCTCTGAACCTCACTTACTCTTCCTTCCCCTTGACCTCCCCATTTGCTTTGTAGCAGCAGTTCTTTTACCTAAGCCAAAGATCCCTGTAACGCCCAAAACTCCAGTGGGGTCTGCTCATCAAGGGAGTTACTACTAGGACCATTTTGACAAGAGACTGGGATGCGCTGAGTTTTGAGGCGCATGAGGGTATCAGCTGAAAGTGCTGATCAGACCCAGCCTGCTCAGATGTACTCTGTTAGCATGTGTGTGCATGTGTGTCTAACTTCATTTATTATTGTCCTGATGAAATAAGGGATAAACTGAGTTCAAAGCACATGAGGGTGTCAAGCCTGTCAATACTGAATAACCCGACCTGACTCAGATGCGCTCTGTTAACCCGTGTGCTTGTGTCTGGCTGCATTTTATTGTTGCCCCGATGAACTGAGTTCAAGGTATATGAGGGTGTTAGCCTGTCAATGCTGAATAACCCGGGTTGGCTCAGGTGTGCCCTGTTAATCTGTGTCTGCATGTCTGCTGACTGATTCAGTGGTTGGAGGAACCCAGCCCCATTAAAACTGAGTCTTGCAAGATAGCTCCATTGGAGGTGAGGACTTGCAGAAGGGAGAGATACAGCTCCATATAGAAACACAAGTAACACAAGCAGCACATTGACAGGATTACAGAGACCCCAGAAACGTACCCTAATAAATGAGCACACCCCAAAGTGACAGGCAAATCTGGTAACAGCTGTGCAAGAGGTAAATGATTAGACAAAGCATAGAAAACTGAGAAGCATAGAAAACTGAGTGAGCAAGCTGATTAAAAGACTGCATTTCATAAACAGTGCAGCCAGAAGGGACTATTCTGATCATCTCACTGCATGATGTATATGGATGGTGCTCAACCTTTTTGCCCCATGAGCCAGATGAGTGATATGGGGTTGGTCCATGGGCTGAATCAAACCCCACGTGTCAGGATCCAGCCCTGTACAGCCTTGGCTGGCCCCTTCACATTGGAATTGAGCCCCGTACCACTTCCATCTGGGGCTCGGGGTGGGGAGAAGCAGCAGGGATGCAGTTTCCAGCTGCCTGGCTCCAATATCCGGCCATGGCCTGGAACCTGGGGCCTTGGCCTGCCTGATGCAGCTGCTCATCCCAGTCTGTCTCCTCCTCAGCACCTTTTTGGTGGACAGAATCCTCCAGCTGGGCTTAGTCCCACATCCACTCCCTGCCACCAGCATGGCCAGCCAGGATCAGCTGTCCCTTCATCCCTTCCAATATAAAACCCTGGCCCAGAAGATGAAGCATCTGGGCAACAAGGCTCAGCCGTGTACCTAGGTTGCTACACCCTTTGTTTGTGTCTCTCCTGACTGATGGATTCTCTGGATACCTCACCCAGCTTGGCCAGGACCCCAAGTCTGGCCTGACCCTTTGGCTCCCTGACCCAACTCTGGTTTGATTTCCTGGATACCTGACCTGGCTAGCTTCCTGACCTCATGCTCTACCCAACCCTCTGGATCTCTGACTCAATTTCCCAGACTGATCTTTGGCTCCTGGCTTCTCTACACACAGACTCTGCACACTCCCCTTGGATCTTGGCTGCTTCTCCTGACACTGGATGACTCCAGACCTTGCCACCCATCCTCCGGCATGACGCCCGGCACAGCTCCTCACTGGCTGAAAACTGCATCTGCACTATAGTCAGGAAGTTGCAGTGGCAAGGATGCAGCTCTCAATTGCTTGGTCCCAGCATGGACACTGGCAAAGTTCCCCACTGCTGACATGGGTTGAACCAGAGACAGGCTGTACCAATCTGCGGCTTGTTAAAGGTTGCTGGCTGTCTATGTGAACTGTGGGGCCTCCCTGAATTAGTTCCTACTTCAAGTCCAATAACTGTATTTGAACAAGAGTACATACTGTATTTTCTCACATATAACACACCCCAGAATATAATACACACCTTGTTTTCAAATGGCAAAACAAAGGAAAAACAATCCTTCCTTATATTAAATAACTGAGTGGCAGCAGCCAGGCAGCCAAACCTGTTGTGTTCTGCTCCCTGGAGACCTGGAGATTTTACTTTCAGTTTCACTTGTGAGTGGTAGAACTTGCTCTTACTGTATTTCTTGCATAAAATGTACATAAAATGTGCACCCCAATTTCCAGCAGCTGGTTTTGGGAAGAGGTTGGGTGTTGCATGCAACAAAATATGGTATTTAAAAATGCCCTCATGGGGAAGCATCCTTCACAAACCTAGGTAAGTTGCTTTAATTGTTTATTATCTTTATAATTAAAAAAATGCCTTTTTCTAGTCTGAATGTGGGTGAACACAGAATAGGAAATAACCCTGTGTGTGCTTGAGCTTCTTGGCTACAGCAGACAAAGGCAACCTAGAATCTTGTGCATGGGTGAGAAGATCAAGCTCTCTCTGAAGACTAGAGAGAGAGAGTTAGCTATGTTAGTCTGTAGTCAGGCATAAATCAGGGCAGGGTGACACCTTAAAGGTTAAAGGTGTCCCTTTTGAATATTTTTTTCTTTCATTTAAAAAAAAAAATCTCACAGACATTTTAAAATACTTCATTAACACTCATTAAACAAAAAAATCCACTTTCAGGCTTAAATATTATTTTTGAAATTTAAGTTAATTAGACCCCTGCCAGCTGTGCAGGTAATTAGACCCCTGCCAGCTGTGCATTTAGGACAAGTGGATGGTCACAGGACAACAACAAATGAAAAAGTGACCCTGAACTCACGTATTGTTTATTTCACATTATGGTAGTAGCTGGAGTTTGACAATCCTCCTCCTCCTCCTCGGATGGCATGAACAGCTGTCGGAGAAGATGCTGGGTAATGGCCAGGGCGGATAGGTTTGGCTGACAGGTGAAAATTAAATCAAACAAAGTTCAATATTCAACTAGAAAATTCAATCGCATAGTTACATTCTTTTAAAGAAAGGAATTGTTAGGGAATTTCTCGAGGATGTATTTGGTAGCTCTGTTGGTCTGAGACCAAAAGAAATGCAAAAATCTAGAACTCTTGGTTCAGAGATGATACCTTTTATTAGACCAGCTGAGAAATTTCTCAAAATCTATCCAACAGTTCAGTCCAAATTCTGGCTGTGAGTATAACATCCTCATCCTGCCAACTGTCCCATATGGCTCAGGTGACCACTAGCACCTGTTTCTGTGAACATCCTTATGTAGAACCATCTCAGACATTTTACTTCTCCAAAGGGTGGGGTTTCTCTTCGAGGCAGACGTGAGTAGGACTATATGGTAACCACTTCCTAGTCTGGCCAACTATATATTTACTTACATATGTGGGCTATGTCCAGTTTCCTCAAATGACTATACTCCTTGTATCAGTCCAGAGTTAAATGAGAAGCAATTGGTAGTGACTTTCAAAAAGAGGCAATATGAGGCAGGTAACTGTATATATTACCTGATGCCCACGTCCTAAGTTTTCAAATGTGAGTATTTAACTTATACTATCCAAAACTGTGCCCCTTCCACCAGCATTGCTCCACCAGGTCAACTACACAATATACTTTATTGTATACTTCATGTCTGCATGCACAGCCTTTTTACAATTAAAAAAGGTGCCACACAAACAGGATGCACCAGCTCCATGTGAAGTATACAGGAACATTTGATTTTGTAGCTTAAACTAAAGCATATAATGAAATGAAGAGAAAGGGAAGAATGAGTCCAAGGTCAGAAGGACCAAAGAGGGACAGAAAAAGAAAGGGTAGCTTGAGGTTGGTCATTAGAGCACATGAGATGTATTGGGCTTCCCATTAACAACAGAGGAGCTTTATCTTTCAGACACAATATCATGGTTCCAGAAAAGACTGCTTGTAAAACAGACATGGAGAGTCAATAGTTTTCCATACTGTCTGCTATCACAGACCTTTGTGTGAGAAGAAGAAAAATCCATTAAGTTAGCAACACAAGCACCTTTCTGCTCCATGTCCTTACCAATTTGAGCAGTGTGCGCTCTTCTTGCCATGTTTTTGGCTCTTACAGCCTCCTTTATACGATCTACTTCCTGCTGGTATCGTTTGCGGTCTCGCATGGCATTCTCCTTGGCTTCCTTCAGTGCACTCTCCAAGGCCTTAACTCTTTCTGCCGTAGCTCGAAGTCGTTTTTCCAGCTTAGGAAGCTCACAACGAAGATCTGCATTATCACGTACCAGCTATAAGTGCGAATAAAGAAAAAATAATATTAACTCCAAGGAATCCCTCTGCACAAAACACATGGTCTATCGGATAAGCCTGCTTATGGAAAGTCCTAAATCCATAGGTTTCTATAGAAATCATCCTTAACATATATAGGAGATCTCTTTTTAACTACCCTAGGCATTCTTGTAATAGAGATAATTTTCAGTGAGGATCATAGGATCATTGGAAAATCTGGTTAGAAGGGACCTCACAAGGTCATCTAGTCCAACCCCCTGCTCAAGGCAGGATCATCCCAAACTAACCCATCACAGCCAAGTGTCTATCCAACTTGCTCTTGAAAATTTCCAGAGACAGAGAGTCCATAGCTACCACTACCTCCAGGTAGCCTATTCCTATGCTTGATCACCCTCACAGTCAGAAAGTTTCTCTTAATCTCCAACTAAAATTTCCTCTGCTGCTCCTAGTCCTATCCCCTACAGTGACAGAGAAAAACTTATCTCTATCTTCTCTTTAATTGCTCTTCAGGTATTTGAAGACTGTTACCAAATACCACCCCTCACCCCCAGTCTTCTCTTCTCCAAGCTAAATAACCTTAGCTCTTTCCACCTTTCCTCATAAATCTTACTTCCCAGCCCTCTAATTTTTTTTGTTGCTCTGCTGGGCTCCTTTCAAACTGTCCACATCTTTCTTGAAGTGTGAGGCCCAAAACTGGACACAGCACTTTAAGTAATACCACACAAGTGCTGAACAGAGCAGAAAAATCACTACTTTTCATTTGCAAATTAATTTACTAGGATGGTTTAGGTGCTCTGAAGAGAGAACTACCTATTCCATCATATTAAATTACATCCAAAAACAGCAAGGTCTTCAGTCCAAATACTGAAGCTAAAGAATATTCTGTTGAGATGACAGCTCTCACAGATCTAACTGGAACTACACCGGAAGCTTAAGCTCAAGGACCTCCAAATACCTGAGCAATCCATTACTTAGAAATGCACACAAACAGCAAGGGTATAAAAAGATGTTGTCTTTGTGGTGGGATCAGTGGTGTCAGGACACATCCCAGCGCAGCAGATCTGACAGATGGGCAGAGACACACATCACCCAGGGCTGCTGTCCTGCAGGATCAGGCCCTTGCTGCTCCCAGGTGGGGAGTGGGGAAGCCCATGAGCCAGGCAAGGGGGCTGTTGTTGCACAAGATCTGGCCTCTGAAGTCTTGAGAGCACCTGCCCAAGGTGGCTGGAGAGCATGGGCAGCCCTGAGCTGCCCAGTCTCACACCATAAGCAGGCATCCATCATAAAAAGGCAGCACAAAACCTGAACCTGAAGAAAATAGTGTGATTTCTACCTCAAGTGCTGGCAAGTTTTCCAGGGTTTTTCTCCTTACTAATTTACTGATAATTCAATAAGAAAAACAAATTAATCATATAATCATCATCTAGGGATCAAAAAGGTTTATTTCAGTTTATCGGTCTATGGTAAGTGCCTAGAAAAATTTGCTGGTTCTGAAAGTACTGGGCAATTGGTCTATCAAGTATTTCTAAATGTGGTAGGACTCAAACTATTAGTAAGTTAATCACATTATTCTGGTTGACACCTTCCATCTCGATGCTATTTTTGCCCAGGTTTCTAAAGCAGCACTGGTTCCTAGTAACTGCATAATGATAAAGGTCGTCTAAGTACCTGGATGAGAAACAGCAGCTAAAACATCTGAACTGAAGAGCAACAGAAGCAAAATGTAAGTGGGATATGTTAAGGTTTAATATTTCATGATATTTCAGTTAGAAATGAGTGCATTATACCACTGGTAAACTGAGAATGTTGCATATTGGACCTTAACTATTTTTATCATTCAGTCTATTTCTGCTTATTTTTTTATAATATTCCATGAATGAAAATAGAAAGTCTCAGAAACAACTCTTTTTTCAAGCCCTAAAATGCACAGCAAGACTGAGAGATACCAATTTGAGAAAACTATGTGGATAATGTTACAGCAGCTGGCACAAATCAAATTAGAAGCACCATTTTCCATTCTGCAAACTGAATGCAAGAGCCTGGAACATGTAATCACAAAGTGCTAAATATGAGAACCAGAAAGAATGAGTTTTTCAAAGCACAGCCTTCACAGAGAAAGACAGGATTTATCCTCTTGTTCTCTCATTGTTTTTACCCAAACAAAAACCTCATCAATGATAATGGCTATAAAGCCTGGTATTCCTTTGTTAACCCTCTGAAAACCATGGACATTTCAGATATACAAGGAAAGCAAAAGTCAGCCCCCCTTAATTTCAATGAGAGTTGTGTATAGAATGCACTTGCAATATTATATTTGGGAAACAAATCTGCCAAAAATTAACTTCAAAGTTTTAACAAAATCCACAACAGCTTGTCCAGATTCTTACAAGAAACAAAAAGGAAATGTGCTACTTTTGTCTCATATACTTCATCTTCATGCTACTGACAAGACTGTTTTACTTATTAACCTGCCTTCAGCAATAACCTCTTGAACTCTGCCAGCATTACTAGTTGAAAACGTGTCAAACAGAGCTTCACTTCCAATTTCCTGTTATCTGTTTCTTTCAGAATTCAGTCAAGATTTATTTATATGTTTTTGCAATTCATTGGTTTGTAGTTGCTGCTGAAAACTCTGAACGAAAAAAATTAAACAATCAAGCAGTAATTATTCATATTGTTAGCCCTTGTAACGCCAGCAATCCAAAGGTATCCAACACCCTAGGAATCAACCAGCTTTGCGTGGTCCAATCACGCTGCTTAGAGCAAGTTACATCAACAAGAAGGGATACATTTATAGCTGCAAGGGACAGGGTCAGTGTCAAGACTCTTTGGAGGAACCAGTCCTTATGTACACTGAAAACTTTACCTCTTCTCCTTCCTAACCCCCTAATGTTAGCTCCTGGCTTTCTTTCAAGGCTCCTGAGGTCAAGAATCAACTTTGGGAAGGTAAGCCATATTTGGAAACCAGCGAAGAGCCAAAAAGAACAGACACAAAATCAGCCACAAAGAAGAGTAGGAAGGAAACTGATGGGTATGTGCACTGCAGGGTAAGTGTATGCATACATAAAAGGTAGAGGTACACCAATACATCGGTCCATATCATATCAGCACTGATAAAAGGAAAATTGACATTATCAGCAATTGGCTTTTTTCGCTGATGTGGCCAATAACGTCACTGATAAATGCTGCGGGCATGCACACAACTGCAACATACACATGGCCAGGAGTGCAGCCCAGCAGCTTGGAGAGCAGCATCTGGCTAGTAATTCTGTTGAGGGGAAGGGGCAGCGGGAGGAAAGGAGTGTTGGGGGGCAGATCAAGCCCCATGGTGAGAGAGGGAGTGGGGCTGGGGCAGAGGCATGCACTGCCCCAGCAGGGTGGGGCAGAGCATGGGATGGAGCTATGAGTGGCTCGTCCAGGGGTCACAGGGAGTGGGGGACGGCCCCTGCTGCTGCGCACACCCCCAGAGAAGGCATGGGGGCATGTGTCCCCAGATCTGTGCATGGAGCAAGTGCAGGCTGGGGCTACGGGCTAGGGCTGAGGGTGGTGCCAGGCTCTTCCCGGTGGGGGCCTTGGGCCAGGGCTGCAACCAGGGAGGGCACCAGCAGTGTTGGGGTGGGGGGGGAGGGGCTACAGTGATTCCCATGCCAGAAAGAGCCCAGTACCATCCCTGGACCCAGTCTGAAGCAGCAGCCTGACCTCACCCCACACACAGATCCCCATGCCTCCCCTGAGGGTGCACACAGTGGTGGGAGCCACCCCTCCCCCTCCCCAAAGCCCCTGGACAAGCTGCTTGTGGCTCTGTCCCGTGCCCTTGCCTCATCCCCACTCCCTCCCTCACTGTGGGGGGAGGGGCTCAATCTGCCCCACACACCCCCCCTTCCCTCCTACCGACATACCAGCCAGACACTGCTCTCCAAGCTGCCGGGTTTGCACATTGGCAATTGGATCAGTATTGGCTGATATGGCTCGTTAATAATCAGCCATCAGTATCAGCCCTAAAAATCTTAATATGTGCACCCCTAATAAAAGGGGCTGAAGAAGTGGTTTTTACTAACTCCCATAAAGATCAATGATGCTTTTCCTTAAAATATATTGAGAATCTAGTCCAAAAAGCTATTGAAGTATATCTGCCCAGGAAACAGATACATTTTGTCTAGCATTATGTGTACAGGGACAAGCATAAATAGGAGAGACCAAAGAAGCAATTTAAATGAGACCTAAATGTAATATCTGGACAGCTTGCCTTCAACAAATGTGTCTGGGTAAATATAACTACCATTATGCTCCCTGATTTACAGAAATACACAGCAATAGAGAGTTCATTTGCAGTAATATAAAATAGTAGGAGATGAAAAGGATTTGCCCACAGCTAGACTTCCAGGGATGGTCAGTATTCATTAATGAAAGAAACAAAGAATTCCCTATTTAAGGGGAGGCTGCTCAAAGAGATTTTCCTGGTGGCATTAGTCTCACCTGTTTGTGAACCTTTGTAAGCTGCTCCAGGTTGTTCTCAAGAAAGGAAATTTTCTGTTTCTGAGCAGCACTTCCCCCTCCATCATCGCTGTCCAATTCAACACTCTGCACAGGAGCAAATTAAGGAATTAGAGTCAAATGCTTAATCCCCAGGAGGAAATTTGCATTTTGCTGGAGTCTTTTACACAGCTCAAAGGGTGAAAACTTCTCAACAAGCTCAGGTCAAAAAGAAACTTATTTTCCTGTTCACTGAATGTTTGAGAGCTACGTTCTTCAAAAAGAATCCACACTGGAATGGTTTAGATCAGCACAAGTGTTCAATGTGTGTTTGAGACAGTTCTGGTTCATCAGCCCTAGGACAAACTCTCTCAATTCAGTAACTGATCCGATAAAACAGATCAGTCCGTTTCACTTAATGAGGTAAAGAAACAGAAGAACAAGTAACAGGAGCTGAAACAGAAATAGACTACCCCGGATAAAGAACAGAACTGGGAGCACTTCAAATCTTACTGCCCGCTTGCACAAACTAGCACGGGAGCAGCATGGGCTCTTAGGGCATGGACAAAGATACAACTGTAGCAGCTCAGGGCCACACAGCAATGGTAGCAATAGGGCACCTGTTACAGCTGATCCTGTAAAAATAAAAATGAGCTAAATCACCCTGTTTGACTAGGGATCAAGCTGGGTAAAACATGAAGCAGTTTTACTATACTAGCATTGCTACAAACTCATGCACAGCTAAGTTACAGTTCAACCACTGCTCTGCAGTCCTCAGGTGCAGTTCCCTTTCCCCTTTTGAATCTGCTACAATTTTACATTGGTCCATAACTTAAGAACACTGATTTAAGAACTCAGATAAGGAAGCTGTTTCCAGATGTAAAAAAAACACAAAAACCAAAAACCCCCCGGTACTTTACTTTAAACTTGGTGCACCTCCATGCTGAGGCCAGCACATGCCCAAAAGAGGCATTGCCTGGACCCAGCTCCACCAACATCTGTTTAGACTGGGTGCTTCAGTGGGGCTTTTTGGTGCTTTTATCTAATAGCTGATTTAATCAGTTATTAGATAAAAGCACCAAAAAGCCCCGCTCAAGCACACTATCTATACAAATGCTGGGGAGCTGGGTTGAACTAATGTGCTGCTTCTTACAGTAAAACAAAGTGGGGGGGGGGTTTCCCCCCCACATCGGTCAGCAGCCTTAGTTAACAGTTTGTTGAGTTTTTAGAAGGAATTATGCACTCTGAATACTATTGCTTGGTGAGATTTTTACTTGCCCAGTGACATTTTCAGTGGTGGGAAAAGGACAAACTATTGGATCAAAAAAAGCACTTTATTTTGAAACCAAGTAAGATTTGAACTTACTTTTTTGACCCGAGTGGTGAGGTCTTGAACAAAGAGTTTGCGCAGGTTGTGGAGGGTCTGGAGTTCTCTTGCCTAGAAATTGAATTTAAAATGCACAATAAAAATATGACAAATTCTGTATTGCTCAATGTCTCCTCACATATAGGGTGTATTCCAAGGTCTATAAACAGAGGTGCCTAAACACACACAAATGTCACCTAATGCTTAAATAACCTGAAAATAAATTAATTGTATCAGTTTATGGAAGAGCTGACCAAAGCTGAACTCCTGACCAGGTTTATATACCAGGACATAACTGGCATGTTGGTCTCCGGTGGCTTTGAGAAAATTATGCAGAGTAGAATGGTACCCACCAACCAGTATTGTCCATAATTATTCACATCACCAGAGATTAACCTGATTGTAAAAGACAAAAAATAAAGCCACCACAGTATATTAAGATCTCCTTTATCCAACTATAAGTATGACAGCATCCTTCAGCAAAAAACTCAAAACCTTATTTTTATGCACACTTCCTTTTTCTCTCTCTCTGTCTCACGCCCTCATTAGTTCACTACCGTGGCTATTGGTCAGTAAAAAAGCTGTGTCTGAAACCATATCAGTCCTGCAGGGGGAGGGAGAGGAAAGAACAAGTAGAAAGATAAAGCCTTGAACACTACGTGTGGTTTATGTACCCAACTGTTAAATAAGCACCCAAATAATTGAGCTTCATTTTACTGGGTGCATCTACATGTGCCACTAAGGCAACATGATAAACTCCAGCACAGTTTGAACTGGAGTTTATCACAGCACCTTAATGGTATGTGTAGATGCTCAGACTGCTGTAGTCCACAGCATGTCTGCAGATGCTGCGCCCAGGACCATCACAGCCTGAGCTACAGCAGAGCATCCCTGGGCTGGCAGGAGGCTCAGGAGGTCAGCCCTGGGCTCCAGGGGCTGGCATTGGATGGTGGAGGGGCTGGCTGGTGCAGCCCCTCCACCAACAGTGTACTGTCCCCAACAGTATTATCTTAGGGCTCAGTTAGTTAATCTACTGAGCCCTAGTACCAGCATATGTGCAGATGATGATACTTTACTGACTCCACAGTAAAGCACAGGTGTAGACACACCCACTATACACAAATTTTATGGGACAAACCTATGTACTGAAAAATTTCTTGCGCACCTCGGCCCAGGGGGGACCACTGAGCCCAAACCCAGGCTTGAGCTTTCAGCCTTCAGGCTCAAGGACCCAGCACACAAAGCGAAAGCTGGTGACATCATATATAATTATTTAAATATCAAGGTGATAGGTGCCTTATAAATTGCTCAATTTAGACAAATTTCCAAGATTTCAACACAGTTTAATTTTGCCTATCGTCCAAAAAAGCTACTTCATATGAAGTGAGGCATAGCACAGAAAATCTCAATCCTTTGCCCATTTTGGTTGGGGTGGGGTAAGGGAGGAAGAAAGCCAGTTGCAGGAAGGAAAAGTATTTGGCTAAATAGTGTGTTTTGTCCTATACTCTAGTTTTTACAGGCTGAATTAGTAAGAAAGACATGTCCCAAACTGATAAGAATAATAAAGGAAACTTTTACCCTTCCACGTTATCACCTCATACACTGGAATTTAAACTGACCACTTGGTAAATCCATGGTGATAATACTATAACCTTTTCAATATGACACTTCCTAACTTTACCTTTCACTGGGGAACAGTATAAAACGATTAAGAGCAAAAGAGATGCTACTGCAACAGGGCTGCTAGAACTGCTCACTGCAGACTATCCACAGAGGCCAAAATTATTTGAAATAGTGCATTATATATGTATCCCAGTATATGTTTGTACTCACATCCCATACAGTGATTCAAAACAAAAGCACAGATGGACCACACTATTCCCAGAAGGAGGAACTTAATTTGCTGCTAGATTGAGAATTGACTCTTTCCTGACATCAAGGCAGCATGTAGCTAAACTACCCCAGTAGGAGTCAGTGTTACAATTCCCATCCCCCGCTTGGCTTAGGGACAAAAGCAATCTACTATTGATTCCCTCTCACAGCTGTGCTAATTGACACATACTTGTGGGTGGGGGAGAGAAGAGCAAGTCAGGACTACAACCAGTGCTCAGTCCTGCTTGTCTTCCTGTGCAAGACAGGGAGATGGAAGCCCACAGATTTGCTCTTCTGCTCACCTGACACACTAACCCTGATGGCATATGATCTCTGCTGGGATTTACACCTCTTTATTCAGTTTGATAGGGGTAAGCCATGATCATTATATGCTGCATGTAAACTGTTTTACAAGATGCTGCTTCTTGAGTCAATAATTATTACCAACTGAAATCTTGCTCATGCCTGACATTTCAAAGTAAGATAATTGTTGTACTAAGCTCAGAGTTGCAAGGGTGAAAATAAGCATATGAACACACAGACCATTCACTGCAATCAAACAAAAATATCATCTAATATGTATCTGAAAAATAATCATGTCCTAATACTAAATACTGCCCTTCAACTGTACCACCACTCTGATAAGCAGATAACAGTGTGTTGGTTTGGACCCTACTGGCACCTGAATTTAAGGTCAAAATAGTTTTGAGGTACTACTTTAACCTACTTTATCTAAATTGATCATATTTTGGGGGAAATGTAGATGCACACACACACACAGTTTCTAGCAACACATCATTGCCCAAGCCCCTGCAAAAAAGAAAAACCTGAAGTTATTTAATTAAAACATACCACAGTTTCCTCCAGCCCTTTAAGATCTTCTCTTGCTTGCTCCCTTTTATCATTGAGCATTCTAGAAAGATAGATCATTATATAAGCCAAACAGCACACTCAAATAATAAAAATAAAAGAATCACATGAAACACAACAGCATCAAGCAATGCTTTCCAAACTGAGTGGAACATCTGTTTGCATACTAAAAAATCCTTTGACTGCTTCATCTGTAGCTTTTTTCAGCAGGAATGTCTTGGCCATTTTTGCAGACATTTCTGGTACCTGTCATTGAAAATTTGTTCTTCCATTATTTCAGGAAAACAAGAAAAGCCCAAATAAGCAAGTAGGCATTTCTGTTTGTGGTAGACAGTTTGATTTTACAGTGCAATAAGTGAAAAAGATGTCTTACCAGATTTATCACCTACCATAAGGCATCATAAAACTGGAGCTATAAAAATCTTTTATGCAACTTCTAAAACAGCCATTAAAAGCACAGGATATAACTATATGAAGTACTGTGCAAGGATCTGCTAATACTGTTAGTTGATACAGTTATTGGGATGATGTTTTTTGTCTGAATATTTTGATAGATGTGCTTCTCACCAGTAACATAGAGGCATGAGGCTTGGATGCTGACTAAGGAGAAGTGGGGAGGGAGTGCCAGAATGGAGTAAAGGGTGCCTCAGCCATCCACCCCATGCTGCCCCTCCTCCTGAACTTTCCAACTCCAACCCCAGCACCAACCAGCAGTGGTGCAGAGGAGTGTGTCAGCCAGCAAAGGGCATTCTGAGAAACATCATTCTGTTGAGCAGCAACAACTGGAGTTCACTGCTCCTCAGAGGAGATCTCACTCCATTTTTTGCCATCAAAAACAGAAGTTTTATTGCCTGCTTGACATGAATGTCTGCAGCAAAATAATGAGATGACATCTTCCCTCAACAGTAACAACCTTCAGCTGCTGTTCCTGTGTGCTGCCTGCTGCCAAAGCCTTTTGAACCAGAACCCTGCAAAGAAGGTATAACATAAGGGTGGGAAAATATGGCCTGTGAGCCACATTTAGCCCACCAGGCCATTCTATCTGGCCCACAGGGCCTCTAAAAAAATTAGAAAATTAATATTTACCTGTCCCTGGCTGCCTGTCAAAGATGATAGGAGACAGGGCAGTAGGACCAAGGGGAAGCCACAGCAAGACCCTGCAGCAGTAAGGCCCACCTGGTCCCACCCCCTTCCACCGCTGCCTAGCAGAGGCATCTGGTCTGGGACCATGGGGCTGTTCATGCCTGCCTATGCCAGAGCAGGAAATTCAGATAAGAACAGGGGGAGGCAGAGGAGGACTGCAGGCAATCGCTCCAGTCCTCGGGGCTAGGCTGGCTTGGTTCCTGCTGAGTCCTGCCATCGTGGCCTTGCAGCTGGGAGCCACGTCATGCAAGAGCGGCCCGTCAGTGGGCAGGAAACTGAGGAAAGCGGCAGCAAGGGAGAGTGGAAGTGGGTATGTGGGAGTGTGTGACCTGTGCCAATGTCCTGGGGCCAGCACAAGATGGCTGGAGCACAGGGAACAGGCAAGGAGAGAGGGAAGCTGGCCCAGCTCCACAGAGCCCCTGCCAGCCAGGACACTGGTGTGGGCCCCATGCTCCCACCCAGCTTTCACATACCTGCTCACTCCCACTCCCTGCCCCCCAG